AATACAGTTTTTAGCCATACCCTGTAACTTTTAAACTACACATCCCATCTTCATAATTACATATTTGGAATCAGCACAATTTTTAAAACATAAACATAACCAAAAAAATCAGAAGCCAAATCCATCCAGGGTTAAAAGTTAGCTGAGGTTCTTCTTTAATGACCTAATCGGGCAGTTAGTCATTTCCCTGCCCAAAACAGTTCCATAGATTTGGGCTGTGAGGTCGGTCTATTTCAGGCTGAAAAAACGACTAAGTCCCATCGCCGAATGGGACTTAGTCTCTGCAGCTGAAATAAGGCTGAAAAAAACGGCTGAAAAAACGACTAAGTCCCATCGCTGTAAAACCAGTAGGGGAGAAGGTAGAGCTCAGCGGTGTTCGTGGAAATGTGTAGCCGATTATAGTTCCATGAATTTGGCTACACATACCGCTGACCTCGTCGAATGATCAAAGATGGCCGCCGCCACGTGTTCGGCAAACGAACAAAGACCTCTCAGCATTGTCAATTAAGCTGCGGTTAACCGCAGCTTCTGGGAGGTAAATTGCCTGCACACTTCCACTTCTGGGTGGTCTGCCTGTGTGGTACTTGGTTCAGTAAGCCCCATTTACTGAACCAAGTGGGAATTAGCCAGGCAGGCACAAAGGGTTTGCACCAGGTCTGGGGACACAGGGGACACCGTCTTAAAGGGGCAGTGTCCCCAACAAGTCTGGGGACAAGGCCTTAAAGGGGCAGTGTCCCAATCTTCCTGATGTCCCAAAAAAGGTGTTTAAAGGGCCAGCACCAGTCACATAAAGAGTCCATAAGCCCCAATATGCCCACCGACAGTCTTAAAGGGCCATACACACCAAATAAAAGTGCATACATTTTCACAATCTCCCAGGGGCCATAGTCATGCGGGAGGAGGCTGGCAAATAGGCTTCTCCACAACCCAGGGAAGCAGGGCAATTTGCCATTTAAAGGGCCCGTTACAAATAGCAGTTTGTAACAAGGTGTCAATCCATATCTGCCAAGTGACCCGATGTAGGGGGACCAGTCCCTATTCTGCTCTGTGTCAGTGTGTACCAGGGAACCTTAGGACAGGTGTCAATCCATATCTGCCAGTTGACCCTATGTAGGGGAACAGTCTCTATTCTGCTCTGTGTCATGTGTATCAGGGATCCTAGGACAGGTGCAATCCATATCTGCCAAGTGACCCTATGTAGGAGAGGAACAGTCCCTATTCTGCTCTGTGTCAGTGTGTATCAGGGAACCTTAGGACAGGTGTCAATCCATATCTGCCAAGTGACCCTATGTAGGGGGAACAGTCTCTATTCTGCTCTGTGTCAGTATGTATCATGGTCTCTGAGGACAGCTGTCAATCCATATCTGCCAAGTGACCCTATGTAGGAGGAACAGTCTCTATTCTGCTCTGTGTCAGTGTGTATCAGGGCTCTGAGGACAGGTGTCAATCCATATCTGCCAAGTGACCCTATGTAGGGGGAACAGTCCCTATTCTGCTCTGTGTCAGTGTGTATCATGGTCTCTGAGGACATGTGTCAATCCATATCTGCCAAGTGACTCTATGTAGGGGGAACAGTCTCTATTCTGCTCTCTGTCCGTGTGTATCGTGGTCTCTGAGGACAGGTGTCAATCCATATCTGCCAAGTGACCCTGTGTAGGGGGAACAGTCTCTCTTCTGCTCTCTGTCAGTGTGTATCATGGTCTCTGAGGACAGGTGTCAATCCATATCTGCCAAGTGACGCTATGTAGGAGGAACAGTCTCTATTCTGCTCTCTGTCAGTGTGTATCATGGTCTCTCAGGACAGGTGTCAATCCATATCTGCCAAGTGACCCTATGTAGGGGAACAGTCCCTATTCTGCTCTGTGTCAGTGTGTATCAGGGGCTCTGAGGACAGGTGTCAATCCATATCTGCCAAGTGACCCTATGTAGGGGGAACAGTCTCTATTCTGCTCTGTGTAAATGTGTATCATGGTCTCTGAGGACAGGTGTCAATCCATATCTGCCAAGTGACCCTATGTAGGAGGAACCGTCTCTATTCTGCTCTGTGTCAGTGTGTATAATGGTCTCTGAGGACAGGTGTCAAGCCATATCTGCCAAGTGACCCTATGTAGGGGGAACAGTCTCTATTCTGCTCTGTGTCAGTGTGTATCATGGTCTCTGAGGACAGGTGTCAATCCATATCTGCCAAGTGACCCTATGTAGGAGAAACAGTCTCTATTCTGCTCTGTGTCAGTGTGTATCAGGGCCTCTGAGGACAGGTGTCAATCCATATCTGCCAAGTGACCCTATGTAGGAGAACATTCTCTATTCTGCTCTGTGTCAATGTGTATCATGGTCTCTGAGGACAGGTGTCAATCCATATCTGCCAAGTGACCCTATGTAGGAGGAACCGTCTCTATTCTGCTCTGTGTCAGTGTGTATAATGGTCTCTGAGGACAGGTGTCAATCCATATCTGCCAAGTGACGCTATGTAGGGGGAACAGTCTCTATTCTGCTCTGTGTCAGTATGTATCATGATCTCTGAGGACAGGTGTCAATCCATATCTGCCAAATGACCCTATGTAGGAGGAACAGTCTCTATTCTGCTCTGTGTCAGTGTGTATCATGGTCTCTGAGGACAGGTGTCAATCCATATCTGCCAAGTGACCCTATGTAGGGGGAACAGTCTCTGTTCTGCTATGTGTCAGTGTGTATCATGGTCTCTGAAGACAGGTGTCAATCCATATCTGCCAAGTGACCCTATGTAGGAGGAGCAGTCTCTATACTGCTCTGTGTCAGTGTGTATCAGGGGCTCTGAGGACAGGTGTCAATCCATATCTGCCAAGTGACCCTATGTAGGGGAACAGTCTCTATTCTGCTCTGTGTCAGTGTGTATCATAGTCTCTGAGGACAGGTGTCAATCCATATCTGCCAAGTGACCCTATGTAGGAGGAACAGTCTCTATTCTGCTCTGTGTCAGTGTGTATCAGGGTCTCTGAGGACAGGTGTCAATCCATATGTCAAGGTTTCAATATGTCATATGTCAGCTGTCAATCCATATCCATTGTGATTTAGGAATGTTAGGTGATTTATGCCCTTTATGGATTAAGACCAGACTCTGCATCATCTGTGTAATTTTCCATGGGAGTTGTGATAGAATTTATCTTGATTCCAAGGCTCAAGCTTATAGGTGTCATATAATGATATCCTATATTAAAATTGGCTAACTTGGACTCAGGAAATGCTTGATGCTTAAACAACACTTAAGACCATATATGTCTAAGGTCCGGGAGCAGAGAGCCCCCACCTAAGATGTCTCTGCTCTAATCATTTTGTTCTCTCTTACCTTGAAAACTTATTTGTTATGTGTACATGACGATCATCCCTATGTCTTATCTGTATTCTCTTCCTATTACTGTTCTAAGAGTATTTGCACGTAAGCACTTACTTTTTAATATATAAAACCCAGCTGATGAATAAAACGTCAGAGGCTTATTTTGAATACCAACAGGTGTCTGGTGTCTAATTCTCGCTTCTCCAAGTGCACTTGTAACAACAATTTGGGCTTCCTCTGAATATAACAAAGATCAATGTAACGGATCGCCTGGCACCCCGACTGGGTACCTCCGTTGAAGGATGCACCTAGCGCTTCCTGAGGACTCCAAGCACTCTGGCAGACACCACAATCACCGAACCGTAGAAACAAATAAATTCTCCCAAGCATATGAATGCTGTAGACAGTTGAATAGGAACCATACGAATAGGTTTACTCTCCTAGCAGTCAAACTGGAACAGCATACAATAAATCCTTCCCCCAATAATGAGACGACACTTCACTTTGAGGGTTAAAACAGGAACTGACTCTACTGGCACATACAGCCTCTTTTATTCCCAATCCACAAACTTAGTACTGCCCACAGGGTTTTACAGAACAACCAATCAATCTGTACAATACACACAGACACTCCCACACAAAATCCTCCCCTCTGCCATGTAATACAATTAAATTACACAATGGGTAATCTAATTATCACAGACAGAGAAATACAGTTTCATAAAACACAACACAGGGACCCCAAAACATGCAATAACCCCATATATCCTTGGAACCGGGGGATCTGGGTGAACCACATATCCAAAATTCACCCAGATCCGTTCAGTACTTTGGAAGATACAGTTTAATGCAGATTCTGCAGAACATATACAGGCTAAATTAAAAACAATCACTGTATAATGTGTCCCCTGCTGTATAGTCCAAAACCACTGCACAATGTCTCTGTGCACCAAATACTGGCGAGATGGCACCGTGTTGAAAAGTCCAAACAGTGTCTGTGAGTTAAAATGGCCGCCATCCATTGTTCTCACCATGTACTTCATCCATTGTTCTCACCATGTGCCTTTGATACAGGAAATGGTGGCCACCCAGTAACTCCACAGTATGTCCCCAGATGGTTCTTAAAGGGCCAGCAGCAGCACAACACAAATCCATTATGCCCAAATCATGTCTTTAAAGGGCAATACATCCCAGGGGCCATAGTCACATGGCAGGAGGCTGGCAATCAGTCTTCTCCAATGCCCAGTGGCGAGGTCGGTTTCGCCACAATCAACATTTCTGATCCACAACAATTTGGTGCCGAAACCCGGGATCTGACGGTCGAGAGACTCGGACACTAGCGTACAGGTGGACGTCCCTCTGACAGTGAAATCAGCTGCAGCAAGGTAAGAAAAACTTTTTTTCTACCTTTATCAATTTCACTCTCAGATCCACGTCCTACTAGTCTGTCTGGGTAAAGAACGACTTAAAAACGTCTGATCTAAAGAACTTGTTTTCTGTGGTATTATGGTTATATTCAGGTGGAGGTTGTGTTATGTCTTGTGAAAGGAATCTTGAGATAGTGGAATATACCTGTGGGTTGTAAGTTATTTTTATTGTTTGCCTTGTCATTTGTTTTATATTTGAGTTAGAATCCTCCAAGGGCAGATCTCCTGATCTGTGTTTAGAAGACAAAACTGGGAAAATTCCACTGCAGAGGTCCTAATGTCAAATACACTGTTTTTGTACAGTTTGTCTTGTGTAAGGAAGTAATTAACCCTTACAGGTTTTAAGATGGGTAGCTCTGAAAGTACCCAAGGGGGATTTACAGCTTTGACTATTGTCAAGCATCACAAAGGACAAGGAGCAATTAAGAATGTTAAGAGGTTACTTAAGAAAGCTGGCATGCCCTTAGAGGGCACTCTAGACCCATATGGAGAGAATTTATGGCAAATTACAGAGGTTGGTTAGAAGATAATGACTTAGTAGAAGTCGCACAAAAATGGCATGATACTGCTGTTGAATTAACTAAATGTGGTTGTAGAGAAACCACCAGGAAAGGTGTACCATAGTATCAATGTTTTGGACCTCTAGGGTCCCAGAGTAGGCAAGATCCTGGGAAAAATCTTGTAAACCCACCCCTTTACCAAGATACTGCAGGGACTCCTTTGGTCCCAAAAGACAAGGCGATTTCCCTTTTACGGAAATCAAAACCTCTCTTTCCAGTAATATTACTCAGTGGGACTTCATATGGTGTCCCAGTAAGACCTATGGGTTCATTAGAGCAGGAAGGTAGTCCAGACTTAAAGGAACCCCTAGTTGCCCCCACAGATACCCCAGTGGAGCCATTAGCTCCACAATTTTCTACTGCCATGATACCAAAAGTTGAGAGTGTATACCATGAGCACAGACAGCCGAGCTCAGGGCTCCAGCACTGGGTCTCCCAGATTACAAAAAGAATTTTAACCTGTTCTGTACTGAGCAATCAGGTTATGCTACATCTGTCCTTACACAGGACCATGATGGTAAACAAAGACCAATAGCATACTACTCCACCAGATTGGACCCTGTTGCCAGGGGTGCCCCCTCATGTGTTAGGGCAGTGGCGGCTGTTACTGCCCTCCTGGACAAAGCCACTGATATTGTTTTAGATAATCCGGTGATCATATACACACGTCATGATATCAACAGCATACTCTCACAAGTTCAACCAAAACACATACATACTGCAAGGTATCTCAGAATGCAATGTGCCTTGCTTATGCCACCTAATGTTACTCTTAAAAGGTGTATGGTGTTAAATCCATCTACATTGCTTCCCCTGGATTTAAAAGAGGGGAGTGGGGATAGTGGGAATGGTTGTACTTCTGATCTTTTTGTAAATTCACTTTCACCAGATGAGTTAGCTGACGCCCAGGTACCCCATGATTGTGCAGCACTAATGGCACAAGAGACAGCAGGTTTTTTGCATGTATTTGATTCTCCATTATCTAATGCAGATTTTGAGTTTTTTGTAGATGGTTCCAGATATGCTGATGAGAAGGGTAATTTCCACACTGGATATGCTGTAGTCTCTGCACATGAGGTAATAAAAGCTGAACCACTCGCTCCTCACTGCTCTGCACAGGAGGCAGAGCTGAAGGCACTCCCTGAAGCGTGTAAAATGGCTTCTGGTAAGACTGCTAATATTTATACAGACTCTCGCTATGCTTTTGGTATAGCCCATGATTTTGGCCCTAGATGGCGGGCTCGTGATTTTCTCACCTCAGCAGGAACTCCAATCAAGAATTCTGAAGCCGTGAGTGCACTTATGGACGCTATTCTGCTACCCACTCAAGTAGGCATCATCAAGGTGGCAGCTCACGTGAAGATCACAGATGGAATCTCAAGAGGAAACCACAAAGCAGACGAAGCTGCCAAGCAAGCAGCAATCAAAGTTCATCCCTCTACAGGTAATGCCTTCCTACAAGTTGTTCTTACAGATGACGCCGTTGACTACAATATACTGTTGAGCTTACAAAGACAGGCAAGCAAGGAAGAACATGACCTCTGGAGGAAACAAGATGCAGAACCTGATGATGACAGAATGTGGAGGAAAGGTAAAAGACTGTGTTTGCCACGAGTGTTGTACCCCATGATGGCCCAGATTGCCCATGGACCTACACATCTATCCAAGATGCACATGAATAGCATAGTAAACACCCATTGGGTAGTACCCGCATTTACTGTTGTAGCAGCTAAACACATTCAAGCGTGCATGATTTGTGCTAGAAACAATCCAGGACAAGCTGTGAAAACACCAAGTAAGCACACACCAAGGCCACTTTACCCGTTTCAAAGACTGCAGATAGACTATATTCAACTACCTAAGGTAGGAGTGTATGAATATGTGTTGGTGTGCATTGATCTCTTTTCAGGTTGGCCTGAGGCCTACCCAGTGTCGAAAGCCACAACGAAGGTCACAGCAAGTAAGCTTCTGAAGGAACTGGTATGGAGTACCTGAAGTGATTGAAAGTGACAGAGGTAGCCATTTCACTGAGGAAATAATGCAAGAAATTATGAAAGCCTTAGGGATCAGTCAGGCCTTCCACACCCCCTATCACCCCCAGAGTAGTGGGAAAATAGAAAGGGCAAATGGCACCTTAAAGAACAAGATCGCAAAAGCCATGCAAGACACAGGGAAGCCCTGGACTGAATGCCTTCCCCTAGCACTCTTTTCTATGAGATTCACCCCCAATTCCAGACATGGCCTATCCCCTTTTGAGATCCTGTTTGTATGTGCCCCAAAGACAGGCCTCTATTTTCCCCAAACACTACAGATGCAGCATGGTAGTATGACTGCCTATGTTCAGGCCCTACACCAAAGATTAGGCAGGGTGCATAAACAAGTCTTTGATTCTATTCCAGATCGAGACTCTGATTCTGCAACTCACAAACTGCAATCTGGTGATTGGGTGGTGATAAAGAGGCATGTAAAGAAAGGACTTGAACCACGCTTTGACGGTCCATTCCAAGTGTTCTTGACTACGGCTACCTCAGTGAAACTAGAAGGAAAAGCCACGTGGATACACGCCAGTCACTGTAAACAAGTCACTCCGACTGATCCACCAACATGAAGCTGTTCTTATCCTTTACCATTTTATGCTGTGTTCAGATATGCTACTCGGACTTGAGACCAGAAGATAATAATGCATGGCAGGAAAATATATGGTTGCAGATAGCAAAGGCTTTTAATTTAACCTCCTTTTGCCTCAACCCTCTCCTCAGTACTGAAAACGCCATAGAATCTTGTCTTATAGCTGTCCCTACCCCCATCTCACCGTTAAGGAAGTACCTACATACCCATAGACCCCATAAATCTCTACAACTATATTCTTATGCCTTCAACCCACTCGTAGGCAAGCCTCCTCTAGCCCTGAAGACAATTAATGTGACAGGCGCTGAACTATGTTGGTCTTTTTCATGTAATTGTTCAAGAGACCCTAATACTGAATCCCTGTTTTGCCCCACATGGTGGAAAAATACCACGAATTGTAGAGCCCTAAGCACCACTATGAATTGTACCAAAACTTACCAAGTTATGAGTTACCACTACAATGTCTATCTTCCTAAAGGATGGACTTTCTCCTGTGAAAATATTACTTATGCTTATGTCCCAGGTAACATTACAGGAGGTCCCTGTGCAATCTCTCGCCTAACCATGACCATGTTTTCCAAATCTGACCTGATCACTAAAACCACCCAGCTACACAAACTGCTGAGAGACAGGAGAGATGTTAAAAACACCCTTATTGCAGATTGTAACCCAGAAATCACTCTCTTATCTAAAGCCGAATACTCTGCCCTAGCGTACACCTTGGTAGGAGTCCGAGGTTTAGCATTGTATAATACCCGAGTAGTAAATGCTGTAGCCTGTTCCCTTGCAAAAGGTTTAAATGCCACTTCACAGGCCCTAGAAGAGCTACTTATGGACAGCCAGGCAAATAAGAAGGCAATCCTTGAGAATAGAGCAGCCATTGACTACTTACCAATGAAACATGACTTAGGCTGTGAAGCTATAGAAGGTATGTGCTGTTTTAACCTATCTGACCATTGCACTGTGATCCATAAACATATAAAAGATTTACATGACTTAGTACAGGATATCAAACAGGATACTGGCTTCTTTGGGGATTGGGATTGGACATTTGGGCTAGGAACATGGTTGACTTTACTAATTAAGAAAATTTTGTCCTTTTTGCTATTAGCTGTATTTGTCATTATGGCTATTTTTCTAACCTTTAGATTTTTTTCATGTCTACTAACCTCTGTATGTAAAAGCAAACCTACTATTGGTCGTACCTTAACTTACATTCCAGCTCCGACTTCGAAAGGTTTTATGATGTTACCTCGCCTAACAAATGAAGGAACTCTCCTCTGCTGATTCTGGTGGTCTCTCAGTCCAAGGGAACCGTGGTGAAGCAATAAATTAAAGTCCCACAGGCTTTGGCTAGCAGGCCTGGATATACCTTGGACATTTGGGTGACCCTTGGATCAAAAGAGGGGATTGTGATAGAATTTATCTTGATTCCAAGGCTCAAGCTTATAGGTGTCATATAATGATATCCTATATTAAAATTGGCTAACTTGGACTCAGGAAATGCTTGATGCTTAAACAACACTTAAGACCATATATGTCTAAGGTCCGGGAGCAGAGAGCCCCCACCTAAGATGTCTCTGCTCTAATCATTTTGTTCTCTCTTACCTTGAAATCTTATTTGTTATGTGTACATGACGCTCATCCCTATGTCTTATCTGTATTCTCTTCCTATTACTGTTCTAAGAGTATTTGCACGTAAGCACTTACTTTTTAATGTATAAAACCCAGCTGATGAATAAAACGTCAGAGGCTTATTTTGAATACCAACAGGTGTCTGGTGTCTAATTCTCACTTCTCCAAGTGCACTTGTAACAACAATTTGGGCTTCCTCTGAATATAACAAAGATCAACATTTCTGATCCACAACAGAGTTTCGCCATGGATCCCCCTCCGGCATGCCACAGTCCAGGTGATAGTCCCCTTGAAGCAACTTTTCCATCACTATTGTGGCCAGAAAGAGTCCCTGTGTGTTTTAAAATTCGCCTGCCCGTTGAAGTCTATGGCGGTTCGTCCGGTTTGCCGGTTCGCGAACATTTGCGGAAGTTCGCGTTCGCTGTTCGCGAACCGAAAATTCCGGGTTCGCGACATCACTAGTGTTAATGTGTTCACTTTTATTTACTGAGTGTCAGGAAACACAGAGGGCCGCTGGGTAGGGGTGCCGCTGATTGGATAGAGTGGTCAGCTGGCACTGTAAGCCAATTAGTAGCTTCCCATTCATAAAAAAGTAAAACATTTTCATGAATCGGGATCTAGCAATTGGCTTAGAGCGTCAGCTGACCACTCTAGCCAATCAGCGGCACCCATGCCTGACGTCAATCTGCACTTCCTGACACTCCGTTTCAGAAGCCGAATACCACTGAGCAACCTGGAGATCTGGAGCTGGAGGAAGTCTTTTGGGCTAAACCATTTGTGAGCGGTTTCACACCTTAAAGGAAAGAGAGCACTCCTTGCATCATAGCATTTTCATGAAGTTTTTATGATGGCCAGAATGTTCTTTCAATTTGCTTAAAGGAACACTATAATGTCAGGAATACAAACATGTATTTCTGACACCATTGTTGTGAAAACGCTATTCACCCTGGCTTTATGTGATAATGAGTATGCTCCTCCCCTTCATGACACTGTCAAAAAGGGGCCAAGCATGGATGTCATTACAATTATGCCACCCCTGGAAATATCCCTGCGGACGCCCATGGCTGCCACCAATGTCCTGTCAAGGATAGGAAGACATGCTGGCCACTAGGGGCACTCCACAAGTCAGTTGTGAAGTGCACTGACTGGCCAGCCTTTGCTAGGTGCTCCTTCAACACCGCAACACAGGAACGGAAGCAGATTTGGAGGAGGTACTCAGTCGGAGTACAGGAACTCCGTCACACTTCCTAACCTTCACCAGCCTCCAGCAAACTGCACTAAGAGCGGCAAAGTCTAATTCTGGAGGTAGAGTCTAGCTTCCTAACATTCACCAGCCACCACTAGACTGCATTAAGAGCTGCAGTCTAATTCTCGAGGTAGAGTCTAGCATCCTAATCTTCCTCAGCTTTCATTAAAACTTCCCTCGACTATTCTCCATAATTTCCAAGTTAGGGAATAAATCATTGTGGCGAAAGTAACCTCGCCACTGGTTTTTGGAGGGGCCTGTTTGCCAGCCTCCTGCCCTGCGACTATGGCCCTGGGATGTATTTGGGCTAATGGACTATTATTGTACAGTGCTGGCCCTTTTAAAAACAGTGTATGGACACATGGAAACTTTTTGGACACTTTTTCTTCCCTTTTGAATCCCTGGGAAGGTGTGGCTCTTCCCCTCCCCCAGCTCCATTGTTCTCCAGCAGGGAGTTGTCCCAGGGACACTGCCAGACCAGTGGGAACTGGTTTGGGAAGGAAAAGCCATGCTTGCAATTGATAATAAAGGAACCTCAACCTAACTTTTTAACCCCTGGACGGATTCATGTGATTTTTACATATGTTGCTCCCCAAGTTATGCTGATCACAGAAATGAAATGTTTTATTCGTATGTGATGTAAAATCAGGGAGTTATAAAAATGTATAAAAAGTATGATTTTTCAGCTTGGAGATAATTGAGTAGATACAGTAAGAAACTCAATTATCTCCCAAGCAGAGGGGAAGGAATCTGTGGGATGTAACCGTTATCTGGTTGGTTAATGTATAATTGCCTGTGGGCGTCTCCCTTGCAGGGGAGCACTGCATAAAAGCAGAGTGTGTGTCATTAAACATCAGTTCTACTTCACCCTCAATCTAGAGTCCTGTCTCTTATTGGGGGAATTGCTATATCACTACAAGGAATTGCTATGCTCTGCATGCTCCCTTGAATAATCACTACTAAGCTCTTTTAAGAGCTTGTTCCTGCTTCACTCGCTTGGAGGAGATTTTCACCCACTGGAACCTGGAGCCTTGTCGTAGGTCCAGGGTGGGTAGGAGACGGCGAGATCCCAACCAAGCTGTGGCAGTTAGTGGGGTCTGCGGTGGTTGTGGTGTCTGCGGAGTGCTTGGAGCCCTCTGTAAGCGCTTGGAGCATCCTTCAACGGAGGTACCCAGTCGGGGTGCCCGGTGATCCGTTACAATCATAAGCTAACACCAAATAAATCAGACGAGGCATGTTAATAATACACATATATAATAATATGACTTTAATACTGCATTATCATATGATTAGAAAATAATTAATAACTCTTAATTTATACATTCATATATACAAAGCTATGTAGCCAATCAGAAGGCTCCCTTAAACACACATATTATATACACATCAATCAAAGCTTTCTATGTTAGTGACCTCTGATTTTTTGTCTGAAAACTAGTGACTATGGCATAACAAAAACTATGTATATAATATTTAACAGGTTTAAACATTAATGGAACAGTCAAAACACCATAACCACTACTACTCACTGTCCTGGTGCTCTCCCAGGGTAAGTAATCAAACCAATTGAAAACCAATTTGACAACTTTCAAGGAGGTCCACCAGGTGCCAGTCACCTCCACATCTGGAGTCTGGAGTCAAGGATATCCTGTTAACTCCCTAGAGCTAGAGACCCTGCAGTACTCTCAGCCATTGAGCTAAGTCCTGCAGTACTCTCATACTCTCAGCCAATGAGCTAAGTCCTGCAGTACTCTCAGCCAATGAGCTAGAACCTGCAGTACTCTCAGCCATTGAGCTAGATCTTGCAGTACTCTCAGCCAATGAGCTAAGTCCTGCAGCACTCTCAGCCAATGATAAGAACCAAGAGAGTGGGAACTTCTCTGGTATACGTGTAAACTGCGCAAAGAAAGTATACTCCCAATGTTGTAATGAATGATCCAATGAAATATAAATGCGTGGGAAAAAAAAAATATATGTATAGGGTGTGTCTGTGAACAATGCCTTTTAATACTGCTCCTTTAGAAGAAAGTATCCCTACACTTTCTAGTACAAGACAAAGTAACACTGAAAATGGTTAAGGTAGCGCAAAAAATACAGTCTAGTCATATGTTGCGGCCGCTCACATGGAAAGTGAAAGTAATTGCGTCCGCTCGTAATGAATAAATGTGGTCGCTCTTGATGAATCTGTGTGAGGTCTGGTCTGGTCCCAATCTTCTCCTTCTTCTCCGTCATTACGAGCGGACGCAATTACTTTCACTTTTTATGTGAGCGGCCGCAACATATTCTATCGGCAGAACACGCTCATCTCCGGCAGCTACAAATAAAGGAGACCCCCCCACGTAGCAAGAAAGCCACAAGGGGAAAAGGATTTCATCTCCACTACCCTGTGCAGCTCCACAACGGGACTCCCTGGCAGTCAGCCAGCAGCACTTACTATTTGGATAGTTTGTAGCAGTAACAGCTTCAATACTCAGCGCTGCAGCAGACCTTACTCTCTTCATATGTAATCAGAAGGATGTCAGCACAAACGCATCCCCAACAGAAAGCTGTCTGCAAACTATACAAAGTTGGACTTTCTACCTACCCCCCTTTTTTTTTTCTTCAGTACTCTGTTTTTTTTTTTGCCATTCCACTCTCATTTTTATATTTTTTTTATTTTTTCCATATTTTGTATTCAATTTTTTATGGTATATTTCTATTTTACCTTATATTTCATTAATTGACACAGTCTCTTTTTTTGTTGCTATATTACTTAGTAGTGTGCACACTCAGTATAGCAATAATTATTATTGTACAAGTTTTTTTCGTCATTGTATTTTAAATATATTTTTAGGGTTCATATAAAATTCAATAAATGTTTATATGTTTATTATCAACATGTGACTAGACTGTATTTTTTGCGCTACCCTAACCATTTTCAGTGGTACTCTGAGCCAAGGAGCTAAGTCCTGCAGTGCTCTCAGCCAATGAGCTAAGTCCTGCAGAACTCTCAGCCAATGAGCCAAGTCCTGCTGTACTCTCAGCGAATGAGCTAGCCCCTACAGTACTCCCAACCAATGAGCTAGCCCCTACAGTACTCCCAACCAATGAGCTAGCCCCTACAGTACTCCCAACCAATAAGCTAGACCCTGCAGTACAGGGTCAGTGCTGTCAGCCAATGAGCTAGATCCTGCAGTACTCTCAGCCAATGAGCTAAGTCCTGAACTGCCAGTATTAGATCAGAGCAGGTTATTTTGGTTAAAGAGGAAATAGACTGACATGTCTGGTGGAACACCAGGTAAGTTGTCGAACCATATTCAAACTATTTGCATACTTAATCTGAGAGGGCTCCAGGGCAATCCTGGCACCATAACCACTTTGTTTGTTATAGTGTGTGCTGTGTTAATTTAAACTTTGTTACTTTGATTCCATTTTCTAAACATAGAAGGAAATTAAAGTAATCAAGCAGTATACTAATTGTACATGTAGCTGATTCTGTACATTACAATTTGCTCCAAAACTTTACGTTGAAATTTAAATCCTAACATTTTGACCCCAAACAAAATAATATAATAAGTGCTTGACGTAAAATGAATAGTTCTATGTAGTGGGTTAAAACCAACAATACATCTTATATGCGACAGTAACATCAATCCACAAAAATGTGTTTAATATCGACAACACAAAAAGCTAATCATAGGGGGGGGGGGCGGGGCTAGCCACTGAACCACATGGACACGTTTTAATACCACTCTGTACAGCAGAAGGATAATCCGCAAACATCGGGCTCCAAATTCAGCATGGGGCACTCTATAAGAACAACTTAGTCTCAGCAAGCTGCTAGCTAGACCCCGGGAAGCAAATCGGGGGCGCTCACTAAATATTTTCGGGATCAATCAGACCTGTATGTCTCGTCAGCAGGCCCCAATATGGCCCCATCATGCCACCATCCAGCCCTGGAGACTTGGAACACTCCCTCCCCCCCAGCTGAACTGGACTTGAAGGGAATCCTGAAAATGCTACCCTCCAAGCAAGACCTGGCAAACATGTTGGGGAAACTCGAGGTGTCTTTCCAAACTAAATTGGATGCTATTGTGAGAGACCTGCGCCACGTAGGAGAAAGAGTCTCCTCCCTGGAAGACGACAGGATCACTACCTACTCACAGATGCAACACATCCACCACACCATGGAGGCACACAGTGCACACCTGTCAGCTCTCCAAAAGTATCTCGATGACCTGGATGACAGAGGTCACCGGAACAACCTGAGAGTCAAGGGGCTCCCAGAGAAGGACCAGGAAAATCTCTCAACCACCTTACAAGAGTTATTTAGTCTTATCCTGGGATGGCCTCCTGATGCACCGATAATACTGGACAGGGCACATAGAGCCTTTTGACCCAGCGGGACCCCCACTGAAAAACCAAGGGACGTGATATACCGCATCCACTATTTTACCTGTAAGGAAGATATTTTCTGAGCCCTCCGCCAATCCTCCCAGCCAATACTCTACTGGGAGGCACCGATCTCCATATATCCAGATGTTTCCTGGATGACCACTGATAATCTCTGGGCGCGAAACCTGCGATATAGATGGGGCTTTTCCTTTGCTCTCTATGTATAATACAGAGGAGCTCTACACTCAATCAAGCAATTAAGCAGTTGGATTACAACGACCACCTCACTAATCCATTCAATGTTCCTAGTCTGAGCCAGCTTCCATATTAAGTGGCTCATGAATATGTGAGTTTATTCAAGTATTCACTCATTCATATATTATTTGTACGTTATTACCCTATGCCTGTTTTTCCCATTGTGTTTTTACAGGTTTTATATTGGATATAAGGGTAATTATTGTTTCTCTGTGCTCTCACCATTCTTTACTGTTTTAAGCATTTATTTATGTGAGGTGGAGTGACCCACATTGCTGGTGATTGTAGCACTTTGTCTTATATTGTTTTTTTCACCATATATACACTTATTTTATTGATTTAAAGATATTCACCAAAATATTAGCAAATCGCCTTTGCCCATTGCTGCAGTTGCTTATACACCCGGATCAATCAGTATTTGTACCAGGCAGGGAGGCAAAGAACAACATTAATAAACTACTCAATTTGATTCACATCACTAAGTCAGCCTTGTTACAAAGCGTTCTCCTCACTGTCGACCCCAAGAAGGCGTTCGACAGAGGGGACTAGGCGCTGATATTTGCTGTAATCCAAGCCCTGGGCTTTGACCCACACTGGATGAACTGGGTGAAAGCCATATCCTCTAACCCTACTGCAAAAATACGAATCAAAGGTCAGTTATCCGAACTGGTGATGATTTGTAATGGCACGAGACAGGGGTGCCCACTGGCACGAGACAGGGGTGTTATTATTTATTCTCACTCTTGAACCCCTTCTGCAAGGCGTCCGGGACCACCCACTGATTCACGGAATTAGTAATCAACATTGCGAATATAAGGTATTGGCCTTTGCCAATGATCTACTCTTCTCGATAACCTACCCAATTACCTCCATGGCCCCACTTTTAGAGGAACTAACCCTATACAACCGGGTATCCAATTTTAAGGTGAAATATTCAAAAAGTGAGATACTACCCCTCTAAACGGATACCACCACCGACTCCACAATTCGGCATACTTCCTCCTTTGCATGGGCCTCCATATCAGTAAAATACTAAACGAACTAAATTTTACACCACTCCTCCACAATATCACAAAAGAGCTAACATCATGGAATAAACTACACTTTAGTTGGACAAGCAG